ATGTATTTATAAAAGCGTTTTTTGTTATCTTTAACGGCAGTAGCCAGCTTGAGCTCCAGATGAGCTTTGGCCTTCCTAATTTTGTCCCTGCACAGCCTCGCTACATCCTTATAGTCCTCCCTAGTGGCCTGCCCAATTTTCCAAAGATTATAAACCCTCTTTTTCCTCCTAAGCTCAAGCCACAATTCTCTGTTGAGCCAGGCTGGTCGTCTTCCCCGCTGGCTCATCTTTGGGCACATGGGGATAGACCGCTCCTGTGCCATTAGGATTTGCCTCTTGAATAGCACCCAGCCTTCCTGAACCCCTCTGCCCTTCAGAACCGCCTCCCATGGGACTCCACCAACCAGTGTCCTGAGCAGCCTAAAGTCAGCCCTCCGAAAGTCCAATACAGTGGTTTTACTGGTTCCCTTCCTGGCCCCGCCAAGAATAGAGAACTCCACCATTTCGTGGTCACTCTGCCCAAGACTGTTCCCGACAATCACATCCTCCACCAGTCCTTCTCTGTTTGTGAAGAGAAGGTCTAGCAGGGCACCACCCCTGGTAGGTTCACTAATCAGCTGCGTCAGGAAGCTATCTTCCACTTTCTCCAGAAACCTCCTAGACTGCTTCCTCTGGGCTGTGTTGTGCTTCCAGGATATGTCTGGGAAGTTGAAGTCCCCCACGAGTACAAGCGCTGACGATTTCGCAACTTCTGTCAGCTGCCTGTAGAACTCCTCATCCGTCTCCTCATCCTGGTTCGGCGGTCTATAGCAGACCCCGACCAGGACACTAGCCTTGTTGTCCCTGCCGATCCTAACCCAAAGGGACTCGATCTTGTCATTCCTAGCCTCGAGTTCTACAACATCGAAAGACTCTCTAATATAGAGAGCCACACCGCCACCCCTTCCATGCTGCCTGTCCCTTCTGAAGAGCCTATAGCCAGGCATCGCAGCACTCCAGTCATGAGAAGCACAAATTAAAAAGCACAAATTAAAGATTTTCTATTCGCTTGTGACTTTTTTTTCTAGGCAAATTGGGTCAAGCAGTATTTGGCTAAAAATAGCTACAAAGCACAAAGCAACATTTAAAAAGTGATTTGTATATTATTTAAATATGAAATGATTTAAATCTTAAATAGCAATTGCTGTTAAAAAGTGACTCACCTATTAACATACGTATATTTCTAAGGTGAGAGGATTGAGCTGAATAGAAACCATTGGACTGAATAGAAGCCTTTCTATAACTCCACAAACTGGCCTGGCCACAAGGTTGTTTAAGACATTAAAGCCAGTCGAGGTAGTCTCCTAACATCTCACTTCTACTTCTGTGTTAGTGCAGAAAATCACACTTTGCTTTTCCTATTTCCAAACAGATTTTCAGCTTTCAATTAACTCATCATTGAGTGAAACTAGATGAACGTGCTGAAACAAAAACTCCACTGAAATCCTGCTGAGACGAAATAGCTGTAAAACTGTCTTATTATTGTGACAAAAAACTTGTTTTAGATGTTTGTGTGATGACTCTTATGAGCTTAATGCTCTTTCTTTTTCAAACTTTGGAAATATGCAATGTCATTTTTAAATATTATGCTTTATTTATGTTTACTTAATTTTTCAGATATTATGGCCTCAATACACTTGTCATCATTTCATGTCTTAAAACAGATCATCAGTTTTGTTATTGTAGTTTAATTTTAAGGTTGTTTCTGAACAACATCTGCTTTAAATATCTTTTGTTTTTAAAGCAACATGATTTTCTATAATGAAAAATTAAATTCACTGTGAATAAACAAACATGAGAAGAACCGTTCTTGCTTTACTTCTGTTATGGTGGTTTCTGAACAAACCATTACCACTGAGGAAAAAAAAATCCTGAAAATATAATAAATGTAATGAGCTGTAAGGAGTTTGATTAATGGTGTGAAAAATGTTGCTGATGATACGGAGTTATTTAGAACAGAAAAATTGGAAGACAACAGAGGAGTCTTGGGAGGACCTCACAGCAGCACCTGAGCAGCAAGTTGGTAGTTAATTTATGGATAAATTTGAAGTGACATACATGGAAAAAAATCCAAATCCTACAAAACAATGAATTTTAAATGATCGTTTTCCATATGTTTAATAGATGGGAGTTTTTGAGAAACAATCAACACAACAGCTGTTACAAATAGAAACATAAAATTAAGGAGAGAAGAAAGGAACACAAAAAGAATTGTCTGGGCAGGACTGGAGCCATGCAGGAAACGTCTCCTGGCACAGGGGTCAAGTGTCCTCCACCTCCAGCAGCCTAGATTGGGGCTGGGAGAGATGCAGAGGAGGACAATGAAGCAGGGAGCCACAAAGACTAAGTGGGATGGGGAAGGAAAAAGAGGTGATTGTTGAAGCTGGTTCCTAGCAAGTTTAATGCTCTCCAGCTGTTGTACTGGATGAAATGGTGAGCACGCAGAAAATATCTGACTATGAAACATCTCTGCAGCTCCTTGCCACAGGTTACAGCGCAAGGAAAGTGGGAATGTGTTGCCCCATGCTCGCTGTTCCCTCACTCTACTACAGCTCCTCAAATCACCGTGTTTCTGGGAAGGGCTGTATCACCATAAAGGCAGGGATATGCACCCGAACAATCACATAGATACTGGTAACATCTCAGAAATTAAATAGGAAATGTTTCTCATGGAGAAGCAAGCAAGATTTACATTTTTGTTTGAGATATTTAATTCTGGTGTTGTGAGTAACAGAACCTGAGCTTGGACATTTGGAATTGCCAACTGATATTGGAAAGCAATCCAAAAACTCAATCTATTAGCCTGATTACGAGAATAGCAATGGAAGACTCATTTATCAAATAAGTCATAAAAGATTCAAGTGTGCTTGACCACTGGCTGACTCCATCTCACAAAACGCATTTCAGCAGCTCTGAGGCCCAGACTTCAACCCTGACACTTAGCATTCAGATGGCACCTCTACAGCTCGACTGGAAATCCACCCACATACCTTATTTAAATCTCCAATTTCACAGAAACTTCAAAAGAATGTACAACAACAGCAACGCAACACTGCCTTTCACCTCACCAGGCATTCACTGTACCTGAAGAGCCCCTTGGGAATGACGCACCCCTGCAGACACTTGTTACAGGACGTGGCTGGGTGTGAGGGAGGGCCATGATGAGCAGAGCAAGCTCAGGATGGCAAGTAGAGGGTAAGGGACAAGGAATGACTCGGTCTCACCATTTTTCAGGCTTAACATCTCATTTATTGCAGAATCACACAGAATGACAGAATTGTAGGGGTTGGAAGGGACCTCCAGGCACCATCGGGCCCAACCCCCCTGCCAAAGCAGGTTCCCTAGAGCAGGCTGCCCAGGCAGGCGTCCAGACGGGCCTTGAATATCTCCAGAGAAGGAGACCCCACAGCCTCCCTGGGCAGCCTGTCCCAGTGCTCCGTCACCCTCACCGTGAAGAAGTTCTTCCGCATGTTGGTGCGGAACTGCCTGGGCTCCATTTTGTGGCCATTGCCCCTTGTCCTGTCCCCACAAACCACTGAGAAGAGGTTGGCCAAGTCCCTCTGTCTCCCACCCCTCAGGTATTTATACACATTGAGGAGATCCCCTCTCAGTCTTCTCTTCTCCAGGCTGAACAGCCCCAGGTCTCTCAGCCTCTCCTCACAGGGAAGATGCTCCAGGCCCCGTATCATCTTTGTGGCCCTCCGCTGGACTCTTTCCAGGAGATCCCTGTCTTTTTTGTACTGGGGTTCCCAGAACTGGACACAGTACTCCAGGTGAGGCCTGACCAAGGCAGAGTAGAGGGGGAGGATCACCTCCCTTGACCTGCTGGCCACGCTCCTTTCAATGCACACCAGGAGCATTTCTAACACTAACAGCAGCGCCAGGTTCCTATTTAGCCCTTGTTTTCATTAGCTCTCAAGCATTTTGCAAGGAGAGGCAGTCACCTCTCCTCCAGCCCTTTTTGGGACTGCGTTGCCCAGTGCATTGCCCTGCACCACCCCTGCACTCACTCACAGCCCAACGTGCATCTCGTTTTCTTTAAGGGCAGTGCTAAGGACATCTGCCAGGAGCACAAACAGTGTTTATCCACAAGGCTCCAAGAGCCAAAAGGTTCCTGATTTAGATCTCCCCGACTGTTCCCCTCCCCACAAAATAAGTGTTTTGCTGTCATGGAGACAGACAGCGCTGATCTCTGCCCTTTGTTCTGAAAAACAAGAGACACTCGCCTGAAACCAATTCGGATGAACAAGACTGTCCACCATCGGAAATAGTTCAGCTGTTAATAATTTGGTGGTTGACAGAATGGAGACATAAGAAATGAAAACATTTCCTCCTCCTGCCTTGCCACAACCTTGCTTTCCTGGTGGTTTGGGAGTTTCTTTCTAAAGTGTAACTTCAATTTTTTTCCTACAAATTTAAGCTCCTCATCCCATCCACCAAGAACTGATTCCTCCTTTCTTTACCACCTCCCCCGGCAGCTTCATGCCAGGGGTCTCCCTGAGCCTGTGCCTCTGCCAGCCCTCCCCTGATGCAAGGCTGCCACCCACACGCAGGGTCCCCAACTTCCCCCATCCTTGCTGTCCTTGACTCACCTCCTACAGATTTAGTATGTTGTTGTGTGTGTTTTATTTTTTCTTTTCTTTAAGGTTATTCTGAACTCTCACCCTTCCCCCTGAAGCACTTTCAGCTAATACTGCTTGTGTCTTGTCTGCAAATTAAAAGCTCAGACCGCCTTGCTCCTGTCATCCAGGTGGTCACTGAACACAGAGCAAAACCTTGTCTAGGATGGGTGCAGTAACACCCAAGAAAAAAACTTATTTTCATTTTGAAGTGAACCCTTACCGTTCCCCTTACACTGTTATCTATTAATCTCATGGTAGGTTCAGCCCTTCCTGGTCAGACACAGCACTCAAAAACTTCGGGACAATATTTCTGATACCTATTTTTTTTCCCCTTGGGTGCATTGGCTTTTACCTGACCATAAAAGAAAGTACACGAGAGTTTTTAAGAACAGAATGTACCTGCTGCTACCTGTCTCCTGCAGCCCTTCCAGGTGCTTTCCAGCAGTCTGTTGTTCCCCTGGCACTTGGGTGGGGGGAAGTTGCCTTTGGCTGACTCATCTGAAAGCCATTTCCTTCACTTTCCCTTTGGTACGTCTGCAGGCCCCTGGGCTTCCTCATCCATCCCTCCTGGTCCTCTCATCGCTTTATCTTCAAAGGTGGAAGAAGAATGAACTCTTAGCTCCAGGAACTAGCCTCTATCCTGTTCTTTTCCTTTTTCTGTGTTGAAACCCTCAGCTGGGGATAGGAATTATGCTCACAATAAAAGCACGAGCAGGAAGGCAGAGGGCCCTGGGACAGCAGTGAAGTACAAAGCTGGAGCCTGTGGGCTCCCGAGGAGGGCAGGAGGCTGATGCTGCTGGTGTGCCCAGTACCAGAACTGAAGCCAAGCAGCTGAGGGATGCCTCTGAAAGATGCAGAGCAGTCAAAATGAGGAGGGATCTCTCGGGCAGCACAGGATGGAGTGGTTCTGAGAAGTCTTGGCATTAAATGGCAGAACCATAACAGCTCTAGCAGCTGTGTCTGGATGACCCTACAAAGCATCCCCACCTGTGGGACCGTGCCCAGGCAGCAGACCTGAACACATGGGCAGATAACTCTGGCCCTGGGAAACTGCTTTCTGACCCCAAAACAAGCCAATACCCTGCAATTTCCTAGTTAGGTGAAACCTAAAGAGGATGGAAGAAACCAGCAAACCAAACAGGGTTACTTGACCCCAAGAATGTCATGCACATTATTATGAGTGAAAACAGATGACATCTGGGTCATTATTAAAAACTGGCAATAAGCCTGAGGGGGGAAAAAAAAAGAGAAAAAACAAAAAGTATAAGAAAAAAACAAACATGCAGGCTGCAAGGCTACAAAAATGTTACAGGTAGAAGCAATGTTTTTTCCGAGGATCTTTTTGATTAAAATGCTGATGATGCTGCAGACACCAGTCCAGGAGCCTTCAGTGGTTCTCCTGTCACCAGTGAAACATTCTCACCTTGCAGAGAATTTCAAGCAGCCACGATCAGCCCCACCACCAGCTGTGGCTGAGAATGGATGTTTAGTAACTGGTCTCCAAGCCTGGCTGAAAACCAGCATGGGCTGCAGCAGGGCCAGGGGATTTGACTCTTCTTCATCTTGCAGCATCGGACTCCCACTGGCAGCGTATTTGATAGATTGCCAACAAAAGTGGAGTCAGCCCACTGAATGATGCTCTCTGCATCTCATTTGAATTCCAAAAGGTCTGCTTTCTTCCCATTAATGACAGTCAGGAATAGCAGGGTAGCTCTGAAGTATTGAGTGATTACAAATAACATTCACAAAATATCTTTCATTCAAAAGGAGCATTATAAACAAAATTATCAGGAGTTACAGTCTAGTCTATGCCACCATATTCTTGCTCTGCTCCCCACTTTAAAATCCCAATGAAGCTGTATAAGCAGATGGGGATCCTCAACTCTTGTTTACTACTTCTGTGCCACAGTTTTACTGAAAATTAGTAGTTTTATGACAGCTCATAACCTTGTCCCATTACACTATGTATTTAACGTACACAGTTACCTCTTTGGGGAACAGACTTGCCAGGCTCAGCAAATAAGGGACAAAGGACCCACATTCTAGAAACAGAGAAGATCTAAATCCAAGTGCTTAAGTCACACTGAAGTAAAACAGAAATAAATAACATTCCAAGTGGAGTCAAGCTCCTAAAATTATACTTACTGGCATGGACCTACCTGAGCTGGAAATGAAAATCTATGGCAGATGAACTGATGCCTCTTTGATTCCAGTCTAAGGTCTTACGTACTCAGCAGCACAGGCCCACAGAGGTACCTGATGTTTATGTGGCCAGAAAAGCCCACCCTTTCCTTCAGAGCCCATGGTATAAGTTTAAGCATTAGCCCCTGATGTTCCCACCTGATGCAGGATAAACCAGGGGCTTTGATCATGGCGTGGAAGCAGAGGGGGTGTCCATGAACAAGCCCAGATGGACCATCAGCTCCAAAGGCAGCACTAGGGATCAAGCCAGCACACTCTGGCTTTCCAAACTGGGCACAGATTGTTGCACCTTGCATGGATGGGGGGTACTGCAAACAGAACTGTGATGGTTTCCAGTAGCAGAGACAGTCAGTGGATGAAACGCAGTGAGGAGAGCACACAGTAGGGCCAAAATGCCATAAAACCATTACTATTAACCACAGCTTTTGAAGTGATCATGTCTCTTCTACATCACGAACAAGGAAATCTCAGCAGCTGGTATTGGGCCCTTACTCACTGCAAAGCATAAACCTGAAAGTTCCCATGCTTCTGGGGAATCCCCTTGTTGTGCATGCACAGCCACTAACCCTTCCCCCCAAACTGTAAAAAAATGCTCACAGTTTGGTTTTACAGCAGAACAACAGCCAGCAATAAAAAACATCCTTTTCCTAAAGTGAAAAATGCTCAAGGGAGTTAGAGACTGAAATCGATATACTCAGAAATGCTAGTTTAAATTAATATACATGACGACTAATTGGACTGCAAGTTAATCTATTTGAGCACTTCTCTAATCCAAAAGCCAATATGTTTGCATTATTCAAAAGAACAAAAAGAATCCTTTGAATGCATATCTTCAGACCCATTACATTTCAGCTATTACTACCCACCCTCTGCTTTGCCATTTCGTTATTAGTGTCCCTGCCAATTTTGGTTTGATCCGTGATTTCAGTGAGCCTGAGAAGGGCTGCGTTGCCTGCACAGGGAAGCTGCTGTTTACGCAGAGAAGAAGGTCACGAAAACCATTTGACATGCTGCATCCCAGAGCTGAAGCCCAGCCTGAAAAAATGGGCTGGTGCCTTGCAGGGATGGAGAATAGGTCAAAGGGTCACCCTGGGATGACTTTGAAGGTCACCCCTTCGCTCCTTGCAGGAGAAGTCTGCAAGCATGGACAAGCTGGGGTAGGGAGCAGGGCCAGCCCCAGGGAGGCACAGGGGCTGGGGAGCTTGGGGAAGGTCATCGGAGGGTTTTACTGGGGAGCAGCCTCACAGGGCCACCACCGAGGGACTCAAAGGGACAGGGGAAAAGCCACTGAAACTGCTGCCAGGAACAACAGATATGAACAGCACTGTGTAGATGGATAGCACTGTATATATGAATAAAAGTGCCCAGCACTTAATTATATTAGGGAGAACTGAGGTAGAATCTGGGTCACTTCCATTATTTTAAGGATCTCTCTCTCATTATACAAATGCACATGGAATTAACCCGTTCACTCCAAATGCAATTTTCATCTCAATTTAAAAAAAAAAGGCCAAAAAACTTTCCACAGATTGCTGTATGGGAATTCACCTATTTTATGATGCAGGCGTTATTTTGGCAAGTGCTTAAATCAAGAATTAGGCTGATGGGGGAACCAAAACCAGCTTAATCCTCCCCTCAATCTGGGGATCTTTGATACAGCATGCCTACTATACGCAGACTGTTGTTGTATTTTGCCTCTTGACTTAATTAAAATCTCTTTTACGAGATGCTCTATTAGTAACTACTACTTTCCCCATCCTAAAATGAGCCATCTCGTCTAGTACAGTAATTACAACAACATCACTGAATCTGTATTCACAGCCTGTTTTTAAATAGTTCCCATTTCTAAGCGGAGACTGAAGATGTTTGTGGGTAGAAATGCTTATACTCTGTGTCCCGGGCTATATTCAGGCAGAAATGCATGGATCACACAGCAAACCCCTTAACAGGAAAACACTTAATGTGCCAGTAAATGACACACCCAAACTTTGCAGTCACGGGGCATTGTCCTCAGCCCTGCAAGGCTGCCACCATCCCAAGAAGCACACCAGGATACAATCAGCTTTTTTTTTCCAGATGGAAACGGGTTGAAAGCAGCCCTTTCAAGCTAGGAAAGGGACTGAGCTGCCTTGGTTGGACCTTCTAGACCCAAGGACTGGTCCCAGATCTGCAGCTGACTGATAGCACAACCATGGGTGACCCCACTGTGCTGTACAAGGGTTTCCTCCCCAGTATTTTCCTTGCATTTCATTACATGAGGAAACCGAAGCCAACAGATCATCGTTTTGGTAATGATTATGAAGTGCTTGGCACAAGCTACAGCCGAATTGCACGAGGAGCTTTTCCAGGTGATAGGGGATGACAGAGGCTGACAGTACTCCAAAACGTCAGCGGTTACGCAGGCTCCGCGTTACACCCAAGCCAGCTGTCTTCACTTGATAGCATCACCTGCAATCCACGGCTCCTGCTTCTTCAAAGCACCTCTACGTTCGCTCTGCTGGTGCCGTTGTGACATTAGGGAGAGGAGGAGGACGTGACTTTCTGGCTTTTGTAACCTGTTGCCACTCTGAGGAGCGCTGAGCAGAAGTGATGGCTGGCTCCCATCACGCCCAGCTCTGGAATCACGAGCAGCCGGGACATGCCTTTAGTGCTCGGCCTCGACCCATCACTGGGACACGTATTCCTCTTACCCCATCGCTCCCTGCCAGCTGCTCACGCCACAGGCCAAGAAAGCTTTACCTATGATTAAAAAGGAGAACTTCAGGTACAGAAGGCAAAAAGCCACTGAAAATAGAAAAAAAGGAAGGAAAAAGGAAAGTTCAGTGCCTGTGCCTGACATCTCAGAATAACAGCAAACTCATTAGGGAAAAGTGCAGAGGAAGGCAGACCGTGCTTTTTCATAACAGCCTAACTCTCTCTTTTTTTTTGAAAGAAACTGAAATCCTTGTTAGTCGTTGCAATCTGAACCCTGCTCACATAGCCTCCCTTGCATCCCTCCTAGCTCTGCTGTGGCTGATCACTAACACGATGCCAAAGTCTAATCTAGGCTTTTTCTGTATTCAAAGGCACTACACTTGCTTGATAACTAACAGTGTATCTCCGAATATACACATCTGTATGTGGTTTTTATATATACACAAAACTTTAATTCACTCCTCTGGTTCTTGGTCCCATTGCCCCCAGCCTCATCTCTTCTGTTGGCTCCTTTAATAAGCAATGATTTTTTCACACGAGAGACAGATGAGGATGCAATGAGACCACCATAATCACAAGAGATTAATTATCTGGGATTCAGATACCTGTTCCTAACAGATGACTCACACGAAGAACTCCAGAGAAAGGATGGAAAAGCTCAAATCCTGGGTTATCTGGGGTGTGGGGGAGCTTATTGCTCAGTGAATGCTCAATGACAAATTTTTATCATGCATATTTGAAGTAAAATCTATAACATGCTAATCTCCTATATCATGGACAGAACTAAACCACATCATTTCAGCAGTCCATCAGTTTGGTCTTTGCATTTTTTCCCCTCTCTTTGCATCCCAAACCATTGCAAACTGTAAAAATTGTGTTTTGCAGCATCTCTGTTAATCCAAGTTACACGCAGAAGAAAAACAGACACCCCAAGCACAAACTGCCGTGGGGTTGTGCCTGGAGGAAAACAAGAAAGCTGCTGGTTTTTTATTTTATTTTATTTTATTTTTTGATGTGACATGGTTGTGTTACCACCACATCCTGCTCTCCCTCAGCCCAGCCAGTTGCTCCCGGGGTTTATTAATCGCTCCGCAGCAACCAGCTACTGGGGGAAGTGAGCCTTTCTGCCTGGGCTGAGAGCAGCCGCTATCGCATCCTCCGCGCTGTGCATTGCATCCG